CAATTTTAACCTACATTTTTCTGAAGCTGGTAATCTTTTTGATAATGTATTGGGAGTCACCCCTGCTCCTGCAAATTCCTATACCCCTGTCCAAACATTAAACGAATTTAGTTTCCAACCAATCCACGAAAGTAATGTTCTGAAACAACTGTCCTACCTCAAAGGGTCCTCCTCTACCGGAGCAGATAGTTTTCCCGTCTTTGCTCTACTAACTGTTGGTCACCTAATATACAAACCTATAGCCCATATTTTCAACCTGGCCATCAAAGAAGCATCAGTTCCTCTAGAATGGAAACATTCCTATGTCCGTCCACTTCACAAAGGGGGCCCTAAAGATGATCCCAATAACTACCGACCATCTCAATTTTGTCCCCATTGATGACACTTTTTTAAAAATTATTGAACTATCAAATTAGCAGTTTCCTGTCCACCAACAATCTACTACATCTAAAACAATCTGGGTTCCGAAAAAAATACAGCACCACATCTGCTGCATTAGACTCTTTGAATCAAATTTACAATAGCCTTGATAATAAGCAGTACTGTGCCTGTCTTTTTCTTGACCTGTCCAAGGCTTTTGATACAGTAGACCACAACACCCTGCTTAGTCAACTAAGTTGCCTCGGTTTTTCCGAAAACACAGTACAATGGTTAAAAAAATTACCTCTTTTCTCGCACCCAAACTGTATTCACAGATGGTTGGAGGTCAAACAGTGTTAAGATAACAAAAGGGGTTCCACAGGGTTCCATCCTCGGCCCCCTCTTGTTCTCTCTTTATGTCAATGACTTGGGCACTGACCTGGATCATTCCAGGATTAATCTTTTTGCAGATGACACGATACTGATTACTGCTGGCCGCTCTCCGGATGACGTGATTGCTAAGCTCCAGGGTGATTTCAACAAACTACAACATCAGCTAGTTTCTCTTAAACTAGTCCTGAACACCTCCAAAACCAAGGTGCTATGCTTCTCACCGGGACTAAAGCAGGAAGTTATTTTTCCCCAATTACATTCCTTGAATAATTATCAAATAGAGCAAGTCAAGATCTATAAGTATCTTGGGGTCATCCTGGATTCAAAACTTAATTTTGAAGATCACATTGATTATATTGGTAAAAATACAAAAATAAAAATTGGTTTTCTGTATCGACACAAGCACTGCTTCCCCCCAATGTTCCGTTTGGAATTGATAAAAGCTACCATACTGCCTCTACTTGACTACTGTGACATCGTGTATAAATCAGCCCCAAGTACTGTACTGAAGAAGCTTGATTCAATCTATCACTCGGCCTTAAGATTTGCATTGAACTGCCCATATAGGACTCACCACTGTGATCTCTACATTGGGTCAAACTTAACATCTCTTAATGTTCGACGGCTTGTGCACCAGATCTTATTTATTCACGATGTACTTACAAAAAAATCCGCAGACTACCTACTGGATCTCCTCTCTGTTTCAAAGAACAAATTTGACCTCAGGTCTTCGCTCATTTACCAGCTTCACATCCCCTATTGCCGTACAAAAACCGGAGGAAGGGCTTTTGCTATTGATGCCCCCAGGGTCTGGAATGCTATTGCCAATAAACTGCAACTTGAATCACTACCTATGAGATCTTCACTCAAAACTGCTCTAGAGGAGTTGTACACCCCTAGCTGCCACTGCTATTCAGTGGCCTAAGATATGGCTCTAGATTTTGGTGTTATAATTTATTTATGTAGTTTATTGTTAAAAATTCGGTCACAGTCCCTTTGATCACTGTTACATCGCATTTATGGTTTTTATTTTGGTGATTTCGAAAACGTTTTTTTTGTTTTGGCCATGTTTTTGTTTGTTGTAGTACGGAATTAGACTGATGGCCTCAATCTTAGTTGTCTTGTGGTTGTTGTTGTTGTTGTTTGACTTGCATCCCACTGGGATTTTGCACACAGCGTTGGTGTACGGTGCTATTTCAGGAAAATGTTGATGTTTTTTCCTGGATTTTCTGTTTGCACAGTCACATAGTCACTTTAAGATGTGTTCTTGTTCATGTTTTTGTTTGTTGCGGTTGCACCCGATTCAAGAGCCGAATGGCTCACAGGGCTATAACTAATAAATGAACTATGGAACTATGGAACTATGGTTTGTGTTAACGTGATGGTGTGTGTGTGTTAACGTGATGGTAAGTGTGTGTGAACGTGATGGTGTGTGTGTTAACGTGATGGTGTGTGTGTGTTAACTTGATGGTGTGTGTGTTAACGTGATGGTAAGTGTGTGTGTTAACGTGATGGTAAGTGTGTGTGTGTTAACGTGATGGTGTGTGTGTGTGAACGTGATGGTGTGTGTGTGTGTGCTAACGTGATGGTAAGTGTGTGTGTTAACGTGATGGTAAGTGTGTGTGTGTGAATGTGATGGTGTGTGTGTGTTAACGTGATGGTGTGTGTGTTAACGTGATGGTAAGTGTGTGTGAACGTGATGGTGTGTGTGTGTTAACGTGATGGTGTGTGTGTGTGTGCGTGTTAACGTGATGGTGTGTGTGCGTGTGTGAACGTGATGGTGTGAGTGTGTGTTAACGTGATGGTAAGTGTGTGTGTGAACGTGATGGTAAGTGTGTGTGTTAACGTGGTGTGTGTGAACGTAATGGTAAGTATGTGTGTGTGTGGACGTGATGGTGTGTGTGTGTTCACGTGATGATAAGTGTGTGTGTGTGTGAAGGTGATGGTAAGTGTGTGTGTTAACGTGATGGTGTGTGTGTGTGTGTGTTTTAACGTGTGTCTGTAAGGGAGCAAAGATAAAGGTTCGCCCGAATAGCCTTAACAGACTGTTGGGGCAAGTGCTGTTAGCGAGCACCACGTGTGAAGGCCGGCGCTGTGGCACTCGAGGGGGTGGTGGGTGGCCAGCACCACGCCTTTGTGGGGGGAGCGGTAGCGTAGCAGGAGCGGTGGCGCAGCGGTTAGCGCGTTGTGCCACCAACCCGGCTTGCGGAACAAGTTCGATTCCCGCTCACGGCCTAACACCCGTGGCGATTATCTGAACCGGTTCTGAGCCTCCCCTAGGTCGACTCAGCCTTGGTTTAGAATCCGATGCGGTGCGTTGTGGAGACAAAGGCGACCGGGCGTGCTGCTGGTCACCCCACCCCCTCGTGTGCCGTCCCAGCCGTCATAGTTGTTCGCTGAGAAGCACTTGCCCCAACAGTCTGCTAAATGCTATACGGGGGATCTTTGTCTTTTGGTGGTACAAAGTGCTGGGGAGGGGGGGGGTGATGTTGGTTGTATGGGGGTGTGGATGAGTGGATGAGTGGGTGGGAAGGAGTTGTGTGCGTTGGTGTCAGCGTATGCTCGGGGTGGATACGGCGTTGAGTTCGAGGTGTGGGGGGTGCCTGTGGATGAGTGGCTGGGTGGGACGTGGGCGCTGGGTGGGGGGGGGTGTCACAGTGGTTGTGTGGGAGGTGGCGAAGTCAGGAGGAGGGAGGGAGGGAGACTGGCTGGGTGTGTGGGTGGGTGTGTGGGTGGAGGGAGGGAGGGAGCGAGGCTGATTCCTGCCAGACGAGTCAAGTCGCCTGCGCGATCGGAGGCACCGCGGACAGCGCGTGAAGACCATTGAGCACGTGCCGCGCTGCCCTTCCACACGCGCCCGCAGATCCCCCGTGTGCTGGAGCAAGGGCTGTTCGCCTGCACTTTATACGTGCATAGACATCTACACACACGTTAGACGCTATTTTCCACACGTTTTACATGTGTATACACACACACACGTTTTACGCAAACATCCATCGTGTAACCTACACAGGCTGTTGGGGAAAGTGTTGTTTTCGTACCGAGTACCACACATGCACTCTCAAACATAAAGGCAACGCGGACACATTTTTCGCACTGTACTAAGCACATCTATACACGATGCACACATAGCTGGGAACACGTAGACCCATAGGTACCCGCCGTTGACGATGTCAATCTGCCTCGTGTTACGTACGTACACTCAGCATCGCACTGTGGAACATCTCATTTATAATATACGCACAGCTCACCGAACAAACGCGCACATATAATATACACAACTGTGTATGTAGGCGACTCTTACACTCTCCAAACAAGTAACATATCTGTATTGTATAATACACTTTATACATAACGAATACGTAGTCTGTGTCTCGTGTGGACGCGTGCATTTGTACACACTTGACACTGACACACGAGCACAAATGTACGCACAGCAACATGTACACGCACATCATGTTGTATTCACCACGTAACACTCACCAGCACACCGAATGCTGTATACAATATACACGTAATATATACACTTGTAAACATTCGCGCATATAACACACGTGTGCTCGCAAACACAAAACGCAAGTGCACTCAAAGAAACATAGTCACACATAATCCATCCATACCCATACGCTTGACAATTAAGAATTGATCACTTTAATATTACCACCAGCCTGAATTGCTGCAACTACAACAGCCAGCTTTCATCACTGCTAACGCTGGTAACACCACTGCTAACAGCAACCATCAGCAACACCGTCATCACTACAACCATCATACCACCACCTTCACTCGTGCCATCACAACCACCACAATCATCAACCCTAACAGCACCGCCAGCTTTAATCACCGCAACCACCACTCGCACGATCACCGCAATTCATCTCCACTCACCCTTGATCACCACCACCCCTCCCGCCCACATCACGTAGAGTGACGAGACACACACACACAGACAGACGCAGACAGACACACAGACGCAGAGAGACACACACGCAGACAGACACACACAGGCACAGACACACACAGACACACACACGCAGACAGACACACAGAAACACACACACACACACAGGCACAGACAGACAGACACACAGACAGACACACACACAGACAGACACATACACAGACAGACACACAGACGCAGACAGACACACACACAGACATACACACACAGACACACAGACACACACAGACAGACACACACAGACAGACACATACACAGACGCAGACAGACACACACACAGACATACACACACAGACACACACACAGACAGACACAGACAGACACATACACAGACGCAGACAGACACACACACACACAGACAGACAGACACACACACAGACACCAAGACACACACAACAGCAACAGCACAGGCGGTGTGGGCGAGGAGGGAGATTCGCACGCCGGCTCGCCGCTACAATATGTTGGCTCGAACTCTCTGGGCCGGGCAGCATGGCGAGGACGGCCGCCAGCCCCGCGGGGCCGCAGGGACTCACCTCGCCGCTCCCGACGCTCCCCGCTCGACGCCACCGCCGCCTCCTCCTCCTCGTCGGTCTCCCCGTGCGCCTCAGCAGCCCGGCCCTGGTCATGCTCTCCGCGCTCTTCCTCTCCACCTACCTCTTCCTCTGCTCCCTGCCGAGCTGCCAGCACGCCGCCGAGCCGCTGCCGACTGGGGGTGGTAGCGAGGGGGGAGGAAGCGGAGCGGCGGCTGCTGCTGCTGATGCTGCTGCTGCTGCAGCAGGTGGAGGAGGAGGAATAGTTGCGGGCGTAACGGTGGCGGTGGAAGGGGGGCGAGTAACCGGGCGACGAGGGGGAGCAGCTTCGGCGGGAGCAGGTGGTGCAGAATCAGAAGGAAGAGCAGCAATGGCATGGTCAGCAGGAGTAGCAGAAGATGAAGAAGAAGAAGAAGAGGAGGAAAGCATCCAGGCTCCCCCTCTCAGCAGGCGAAGCTACGCGAGCCAGTCGAGTGGAGGAGGAGGAGGGAGGAGAGGAGAAGGAGGCGACGGGGGAGGAGAGGGCCTCGCGCGGGGCTCGAAGACTCCACACGCGGCAAGAGCGCGCGGCTCCGCGAAGACTCGCGAGCGGGGCTCTGGGCTGCGGGCGCTTCAGGAGATGAGTGAGAACAATGAGTACGACGAATGGGCAGGGGCCACCCAGCATCATGAGAAGATGAAGAGGAATGTCGACGACGATGTTGATGACGATGATGTCGCTGATGGGGACAATGCCGATCTGGGAAAGGAGGAGGCGGAGGAGGTGGAAAGAAGGGAGGGAGGGCAAGAGGAGGAATCGGAACTCGGGATTCCGTGCTGCAAGAGGCTTCCGCAGGCGCTCATCATCGGGGTGAAGAAGGGCGGCACTCGCGCGCTGCTCGAAGCCCTGAGGCTTCACCCGGCCGTGCGCGCCCTGGGGGCAGAAGCTCACTTCTTCGATCGCAACTACGAGAGGGGCCTTGAGTGGTACAGGTAAGGAAGCCCCGGTGACAGGGGGACTCTCGCCGGTTCACTGTCAGCGGTGAGGATGCGGCCGCGGTTAGCACGCGACCTGGCTGGCAGTGCCGAGGCCGCCGGTTCCGTTCGTTCTCGCGGGCGTGGCATGCGACATTTGTGTTAGTTTCGGCAAGTTTCTTAAAGTATGCCCCGCGAGTCTCAGCCCCCGCCCGGCAGTATGAATCGGTAACACATCGGTTGTTGTAATCAACGGGTGGGGGAAAGTGTGGTGGGGGAATGTGTGGGTACTTCGGCGTATTCGAAGTCGTCTGGCCAAGTAGGACAAATACCATCTAAAAAAAAGGGTGATCTGGAGCTCCCTAGAGTGGAAGCGCTTCTGCCAGCATCAGCGTGAATTGGCAATTGCAAGGCTGCGCCTTTGGCTCTTACATCTCTCAGCACTGCATCAATCATCGGCACGCAGCTGATGATTGATAAACACGTCCAGCGTAAACAAAAGCCCCGATTTAAATTGATTAAACTATGTATTTAAACTATTACTGAACAATTTTTTTCTTTTACCAGGTAAGGTCTACTGAACAATAGAGCTATTTTTCAAGACGCGATCTGGTCACAGATGATAGCTCATCGAAGAGGCTTATTAGCCAATGTATGGTTGCTAATACTCTAAACGCAGTGCTTATCCACGCGACCACGGGGAGAGAGACACCGCAAACTCCAAATATACGGCTGCAGACGTCGGGGTCGAACCCACGACCTCCTGCACACCAGGCGAGGTAGTCAACATCTCCTAGCCACCGTGGCGCTGTGAACTCCCCTGGGTGGAGAGATGGCGCAGTGGCTGTTAGCACTGCGAGCGCTATCAACCTGGCCACCCAACTTTGATTCTCGGCCACGGCGAACATCGGTACGAAGCGATATCTGAACCGGTTTTAGTGCCTCCCTGACCACCTCTTCACCAACCCGCACTGGCCGGCGTAGTGAAGCATGGTCAAACAATTCCGATGCGTCGTGGGGAAGGCCTTCATCCAGCAGTGGATTGGCAAAGGGCTGTGCATGGAAACGGTGTGCGTGTTTGCAGCAGTATAAAAAGCGCCAACTTCGAATCGATTTTGATGTCTTGCGCGTGTTGAGAGCGCTGATCTAAATAGATAGACATACTGTGTGTGTGTGTGAGCGTGCCCCCCCCCGCCCCCCCCCCCGGGATATAGAGAGGGCGAATTGCTATGCCAATTGCAATTAATATTGAGACCTCGTGTGCGTGAGTGACCACAGTGTGATGTTCGCTGCGCTACGAGCCCGGAGACCCGAGTTCGACTTTCTAACAAAATCTGAACAGGTCCTTGGCCTCCCCTAAACGAGTACGCTACCTGGTGCGGTGTGTGAACATTCCGCCACTCGGGAGACAAAGGCGGCCGTGCGTGGCCGCTGGCAACCCACCCATTCGCGTGCCGTGCCGGCCTTTAATAGGTTCTCGCTGACAGCACTTGCCCCAAAAAGTCTGTTCACATCTAAAGCCGGGGATCTTTGTCTTTGTGCGCCTCCGTCGTGCTCTGGATTGTCGAGCCCGCCGTCAAGTCGAATCAGCGCTCTGTGCGTTACGTGTTTAGCAATCATGAGGCGCGTGCAGCGTTCATAAACGACGTGATGTGCGTTTGAGCGAAAAAACCGATAAACATGCAGAGGCGCAGTGGATTATGCAAGCCTGGCGTTTATAACCCCTAATTAGAGCGTTCAAAGTCACTCGCTTAAAGTTGTCAAATCGCTGCCCATCGGAGATTACCTTCCCTTGCGTACGCGTTTCACGTACAGCTCTCCTGTCACTCGGCTGCTGGATGAGGACCACCCTACACCATACTTCACCGCGCTGAGTAGTGGGGGTTGGTGGAGCATAGACGTTGGCGCATAGTACAATACAACAGTGCTGATTTCGCTGCATTGTCCCCTGGCGATAACGCATGAACCTACAACACGTCTTTATGCCTGTGGATTGCCTCGACCATGCTTGGCTTACAAGATCTTCCGAGAGTAAATTTTGTCAACGTTATTATGCACTAATTGTATCCAGAAACGCCTCGCTAGGTCTCCAAACGACTCAAACATTATTTCAAGAGAGTCCCAAAATTTGGGGGACGAATGTTTGGTCAGTCACCATCCGCAAGTGTTGCCCGTGAGGCTGGGAAAATGATTCGGTTGATTGATTATCATGATGCACGGGGGAGACCTCTTCGCCGTTGCTGAACAATCACCCCAGCGTTGTGGCCGAAACTACTCACAGGGTAACCCACGGGTGCTTTTAATCACCCATGATCAACAACAAAGCACAGACGATATATCTCGGTCATATATCGGTCCCTGTATGTGCAAAAATAAAAGGTGTAAGCTAAAATTATAATTGAAACTACTAAACTATTATTTTTGTTTTATTTTACCAGGTAAAAGCCCACTGAGTTATATAGCACATTTTTCAGAAGCGACCTGGTCACAAATGATAGCTCAACGAAGTGGCTTATCGCGTGGAAATGTATTGCAGCCAAATACTCCACGCGCGTGTTTTATAAATGTGGAGGGATAAAGCCGGTGAAAAATCCACGCGAGCACTGGGAGAGAGAGACACGCAGACTCCAAATACACAGCAGGTGTCTCGGTTCGTGATCGAACCTACGACCTTCTGTAGACCAGGCGTCTCGGTTCGTGATCGAACCCACGACCTTCTGTAGACCAGGCGAGGTAGTGAACACCTCGCCACCATTGGCGCCCATTACGCGCTTCTGTAAGTCGCTACTTATAAGTCGCTACACGCTTCTAATATTGCATGGTGTTTGAATAAGGCAGCGGATGGCCACAATTGTGCACAGTTAATGTTGTCCGCACTGCCACGGCGGTGGTGGTGGTGGTGGTGGCTGAGTGAGGTAGCCCGCTCGTTCCACCCGAACGCGCCCGTTGTGTTCGGGGCAGGCGCCGTTGACATTCGCCCGATGGATTGCATCTCGCCGCATCCGCTCCACGCGCCTGATGATTGATAAACGCGTGCCACGTAACGTACAGAGCGATACAATGTATACAAATATTTTCATGTTGTGGGACAGGTATGTGAAAGGAGATCCGTGTTCGTTATTTTTCACAAAACTGACGCGAATGTAATTGCCCATGCGTCAGTTGCGGTGTGTGTTTAACGAACCTCGCCTCTGATCAAATCGGACCTTCGGAAGCCAAGCAGCGGGTTGAGCCTGTGCAGTTGATGTCCGCGAGGGAGCTACCGCCAGCCACGTACTGCGCATAGCAGGTGCCGTAGGGCCGCTGCGGAGCTGAGCGCTACAGGGGTAGTGCGTAAAAACCCAACGCTTCACGCCTTCACCAAACTCACGCTGACCATCGCGGTCGAGTCAGATCACAATCGGTGAATATGTATTCGTGCTGGAGGACTCCGATGGAGCTCCTTTTGTTGTTGTTGTTGTCCACAAGTGAACCTCATTGCGGGACCCCGGGGTTCCCATAAGCCCCCGGCTCTCGCATAAACTGCGTTGCGGCCTCATTCTATGTCTGTTGAAGGCGAACGATACGGCGAACTATTCCTCTAGACGAGCTCTACGCGATGCGCTGATCAGAGTTTCAAAGTTTTGTTTCTTCTGCACATTCGTCCTCGCCTCTGCGCTTGGACATGACGTGACAACAGAGCGATCCGCGCCTGGCGGGTCGCGGCGTTTATGCGCGCGGTGGGACGGAGTCGCCAAAAATAAATAAACTAATTGCGATTTTGATTTCCGTCAATTCGGGACCCCGGGGTCCCGCCATAAGGTTCAAATGTCCAGCGGTAATAACCCCCAACAACACCCCCCACCATCACCACCCCGACGAGCGGCACGGCGTGGGGAGGGCCTCGTGCAGGTTGTGGGTGGACAAGGAGGGTTGGGCATGACGAACGGCTCGCTTAGGGAGAGGCTTGGTGCGAGTCTCGGGTACTCGTACCGGCAGAAGGACGTAGCCACCGATCTCAGTGGTCACCGAGTACGGTGCTGAGCGTGGGGGGCAGGGGGGTGCCTTGCTGGCCCCCAACCACAAGCCCCCCCCCCCCCCACCTCGTGGTGGCCAAAGCTACGAATTGGGGGCGCCCTTGACAGCCACCCTGAGATATTTTTTTTTCAACAACGGTGTAAAAAAAAACAGCAACAACAAAACACTATAGACAAGAGGAGCCGCGTTATGCAATAGCCTGGGTGCGACCGTGCGAGAACAAATCTCATTTTGGGGCCCCACGTGGCCGATTGCCGCACCTGACTGAGCCGGCGATGTCGTCGCTGCACCACTGTTGGTCACGTTTGGCGGTCAGGGAAAAAAGCCAAATCAAGGGAGGCGCGCGTCCAGCAGTGGATGGACCAAGGCTGATGGGAATTATTGGCTGGAGTACATTTTGCTCCCCTCTCCCCGCCCGTCATTGTTTAATTGTTGTAGGGTGGGGGTGAGGTCTGCCAACATTTGAGAGTTTGGACGATGAATGTGATGCCACGTTTTGGTTCAGCGCCCTTCAAAGCCCCGTGTCCACACACGCTGGCAGGGTTAGGCAAAACGACCAGAGATCCACCCAGCGATGTTGGATGGAGCCCGTCATCAAACTTTCTAATCCTAAGCAAAGGCTTGCATACCCACAGCTGTCCTTCACTCAGGAAGGGCGAAAAGACTACACGTATCACTTATATAACTACACGTGTCACCTATATCACTACACGTCTTACCTATATAACTACGCGTATGATTTGTTTTCCGATTTATTAGGGTGCGTGTCAGGCCTGTATTTTAGAGTACAACTTGGGGGTGCGTCTAATAATCCGGCACACGCGTGCGTGTGTGAGATCACATTTATATATCTTTATTGATACCGGGCACGCGTTTGAGATGCGCCTTACTTTCCGTAAAAAGTGTATAATCCGGAGAACACGGCATTTGTTTCAGATACAGAAATCAAGAGACTCGTCCCAAAACGAACTCCACTAAACTCAGTTTTGACCTCTCACAAA